GGCAGAGCCGAAGCCCCTCGCTGGGTTGTGCGCGGCTGCTGTTTGTTCGGAGAAGGGGCCGCCCTGTGCGGGCAGCAAGGGGAGGACGGCGCCTCTGTCCTGCGACGGCTTTTCCGCCTCTACCCGGGGCGGGGAGGGGGGGGACCCGGCTTCCAGCTGCCTGTCCTTGGCAGCGCCAAACCGCCCGGTGACCTTCGCCTGGTGGGACCAGTTGGCTGGAGCCCGTCCCAGCAGCACGGGAGGCCTGCAGCACCCGATAGCGCCCAGGGGTGCCCCGAAGCGGGGCGCGGGGGGCAAGGCTGTGCCTGGCTGACGCTGATAAGCTGTTGTTGCTGCGGCCCCGGGGTGTGTGAGGGAGGAAGATAGAGGCTCACGGGGTGCTCAGTACCTGTTATTTGGCAGGGTGAGGGCAAACTCGGAGCAGGCACCGGAGGGAGGCCTGGGGCTGCAACAGAAGTGATTTTTCGCGACGGGGAGGGAGCCCTGCGGTGTGTGGGGAAGGAGCTGGCTTTTCTGGGGGTTCGGCTCCAAGCAGGGCATGGGCTGTTGCTCCGCACATGTTTCCCGATTTCAAGTTGCCTGGCGCCCGCGTTGCAATATTTGGCAAAGGTTGGCTTGTCCCCCCCGGGGCGCTGCTTTCGGAGGAGCAGCCGGGGAGCATCCTGTCCTGGGGCCGCAGGGATGCGTCCCGTCCCGCGGCGAGGCTGGCGTCGGGTGCCGGCATGCGGAGGGCACCCTGCCCTGCTCTTCCCTCCTCTCCCTGCAAACCGGAGCCTGCTTTCACACCCGGCCCAAGCTCCCTAGGGGAATGGGATGTGGGAATGTGAAGGTGTAGTAATCGCTGGGCCAGCCCCTGCCTGCGGACGCCGCAGTTTGAGTGGAAGTGGCCGTGCGTGTCGAGGTGTCCTCAAGTCACCGCGGCGCTCCGGCTGCCAGGGCCGGCTCCGACCGGGACGCGCAGCCCCTGCGTGGTCACCGCCGGCAGAGAGGAGCCGGGGACACAGACCTGCGAGGGGAAGGGTTTGCATAACTTTGGTGAAACGCTCTGCCCGGGAGCGGATAACAGGCTTCAGCAGCAGGTCCGTCCGAGGGGCAGTGTCAGAATCAGACCTTGTCACGCGTCTTCCTGTCCTTCGGGCGATCTGTGCATCCGTCGTCGCCGTGTTATCTAGTTCATCTACAGACGGTTTCTACTCGCTGTAGGAAACCTCCCCTACCGTCACACACAGCGTGGAGGTGGAGCGAGGGCCACGTGTACGGGCCGCTGAGCTGGGGGTTAGGGCACCGTGAAGGGAGGTGGTCCTGTTTGCTCCGTCCCCAGGCCAGGGGTTGGGGGGGATGCTCAGCAGGGGTTGGGGGGATGCTTGGCTTAGGCAGGAGCATCACCCTGTTACTGTGCACGGGCAGCAGCGGGAGTGGGAAGCCCCCCCAGCAAAGCTGGTGCTGGCTGCTCAGCGCCCGCCGTGCCTGTCCCCTGCCATCCTCAAACCCCAGGTATAATTTCACAAATGGCCTTTGCTCTCCACTGATTTTGGGTCTTTGTCTCATTTCCCAACATCAAACAAACAAACAAACAAACAAACAAACAAAAAAAAAACCAAAACCAAACCAGCCACATCAACAGCAAAATGCAAAAGCCTCGAAGTACCTAAAGTGCGTAATTTTGCTAACTACACACAGCACAAAGCATAAACTGGTGGAGATTAAAGTGAATTAGTGGAGCAGAGAGGCAAGACGGAGCGTACCAGCATCGCTGGGGAGAGCAGGTCCCTGAAGCTGGAGCACAGGGTGATGCTCAGCACCCCGGTTTGCCGTCGCCCGACTTGGTCTCGCTGCTTCTCGGGCTCTTTGGGGCTGCCTTGGGCCGTTTCTCTGCCAGGCTGACTGCGGCAAGCAGCCAGCAGCGGGTAGAGTAGAAAAAGACGTTCACGACGTTAATGAAAGCTTTGACAAAAAGGAAGCGAGGGAAACTATTGTCTCCTCAGCCTTATTCTCATAATGTCTGCGTGTAATAAGTCTTTTGGTTATGCTTGTGGCTTCTGTGACAAAGCAGTGATTTAGGGGGCTGTCTTTACAGAGGCAGAGCTGCTCACACGGGCCAAAGTGCTGGTGAGTAATATTTTACCACAAATTGTTGTAACTGGAGCTTGACAACTGCAGTAGGAAGGAGGGTGGGGGATTGCATTTGATTTATTAGATGACTTGCTGCCGCTTGATGCTAGCGCAGGCCAGGACTTTGCAATTCCTGCAAGGAGAAGTCGGTGTGAGCGAAGCCGGGGAGGGGAAAGCTCCACGTCGCGCTGCCCGGCTCGGCGGCAAGGCACCGCACGGGATCGCCAGGAGCCCTTCCGCCGGCCGCTGGGAACCGGGGTCGTGGCTTTTGGTGCGGACTGCGAGTGCAAAAGGATTCCTCGGGGCAGTAGTCCTTCCTCTCTCAGCCTGCAAGCCAAGCCAGAAGTTAAAGGGATGTTTTCCTAACCCCGACCTGGGAAGCATCTTTGAGATGAGCTTTAAAGAGGGAGGGAGGGAGGGAGGGAGGAAGGCTGCTGCTGGGGCTTGCATCACTGCAAATTCAGGTCATGTTTACTACGGGCAGCTGGAAAATTATGATCTCAGATGTTAACAAGTAACATCTGAAGGGAAGCATTAAAACATTCGAGCTGTTTTGTAAGCACCTACTTTACTCTTTTCTGAAACCAGTTTAGCTATCTTTAAAGATTCATTTGTCCCCTTAAGTACCTGATGTCAGCTTCTCTAAAGCGAAGAACAAGAGGTTGCCCTTCCTTTTAATTTCAAAATGGTTTTGTCCTTTCATATTTTTTTTTTTAAAGACCCCAAAACAACAAACAAGCCCACTGTACAGCTTCCTTTCTGCTTCAGAAAGGATAGATACCTACGGTCTGAGGGCTTTTTGTCCTTCTGCAAGCTGACCTTGTGTAATTTCCTTTATTTACATCTGGCTGGCACTGGCCTCATTGACTACAAGAGTTCATACAGCCACTCTTGAGAGGAATACCAAGGCCTGCAGAAGCAAGTTCTGCCCTGTGTTGTCCCCTTATTTACTGGTACAAAGTAGATATACAATGCCACTGAATAAATATTCTTATCCTATTTTGTTCTGGCCTTAAGGCATTTGTATCAGGATAACAGAGGAGGTTGTGGGCAATTAATTTAAACCAGGTGGGAAAAATTACTCAAAATTGTTTCTGTTCAGGGAGACATCTGATAGGGTTACAGTTTTACGTGCTTTTATTTATGTGAACAGTGTGCAGCCTTTGTCATGCTTTTTTCTTTTTTTGGGGGGATTGTTTTTGAGGAAGCTGTTGCAAATGATGTTTGTTCACTGCTGTAATTGAGCCAGAGTCAAGTTTGGAGACAGATTAGCTTCCCAGGACTTTGGTATTTGTGTTAAGTCTGCGCCACTTGTGTGTGTGATCACCTCTGTTCTAGAACTTTTGCAAGCAGAATGAAAACAAATGACACTTAATACATATCAGTGGTGTGAGGATTCCTTCAACAAGTAGTTCTTTTGCAGATCTAATACATGTGTTGGTATTTGGAATTAAGCAGCATGGGGTTTGGTGATGCTGGGAGTTACAGGCTAAGCAGGGAAGGGTGTATCTCAGCTGGTGTAAAAAGAAATAAGGTCTGAGGGAGAGAAAATTGCCCTTTAGTGCAACTATCCTGCTATTTAGTAGTTTGATTCCTGATACATGAGGCGCCTAGCCTGGCATGAAGAAAGTATTCTGCAATTCAGCGATGATAAAATAATTACATGATTGCGTGCTGCTTGAAGACGTGAGGATAATGTTCCCAAGTGCCACCAATTCAGTCACCAATCAGAAGAAAAGGCTCCTTCTAATCAGGCCTCCCCGGGTAAGGGTTTACAAGAGTACCCTTGAGGTCAGCACTAATCTACCAGCTTCTAAGCTCCCAGTTAGAAGAGGGTAGGATTGCCCAATTTGCAGGGCAAACACGCTCCTTGGGGCTGAGGAAGCAGCACGTGATGGGCCACGCTGCCGCCAGCCCCCACCCCAACCTGGCCCAGCCCTGTCTGAGGGATGGAGAAGAGGGAGAGGAGGAAAGGTTTTACATTTTCTTTATTAAAAGAAAAAAAAAAAAAAAAAAGAGAGAAAAAAAAAGGAAAAAAAAAAAAGTTTATTGCAAAACTCAGTGTTTTTAGAGTATTTCCAGAGTCCACTAGGTACGTTACAAACAAATCAGTAAATCCTGCTTTGAACACATTAAAGCCTGGCTTCTGGGTCTTCTGCGCCCGCACACACACATACTCACTCGCTCCCCTGCTCGTGCCGCGACACAGACAGGAACAGAAACGTACTGTGAGGTCAGTGACAAACATATTATTTGACCTGTATTGGAAACTGTTGTAAAAAAAAAAAAAAAAAATTAAATTACAGTAGAACCTCGCAAATCTGCAGAACAGGGAGCTTACACACACACGCAAAACCTGGAGGCCTTATTCCACTTCCAAGCAGAGTTGTAATAGCAAAGTGCTGTAGTGAGGTCTCGTATCACAAAGACTTCAATAATCTTACAATTATAGTCTACAGAACATTTACCAAAATGCTTGAAGTATCATAAATTAACAATAAATAAAAAGTACATCTTAATGCAACATCGTTTGTTCATTTACTCACTGATTCACAAAACTCTAGTTCTCTGTAAAGGGTCTTCCAGTCCTGGGTGCAACGCAGCGAGGTTCTGCTGGCCGTGATAAAGTGCTGAGGCAGAGGAAGGACACGAGACCGCAGGTCTCGGGCAGCGAGGATGAATTGCTCTAGCCACTTGGTTGCAAGAGTGCCTGTTTCTTTTTTTTGTTTTATTTTGTTTCTTTTTTTCTTTTTTTTTTTTTTTTTTTTGCTTGAACATCTAAGACAGAAAAAAAACAAATCAAGCACCTTCCCAAAAAGAGGTTGTTTTTTTTTTTTGTTTTTTTTTTTTTTGTTTTGTTTTTTTTTTTGTGTGTGTTTTTTTTTCTTTTGTTTGTTTTTTTTTTTAAACAGATTGTCCCACATTTCTATGGCTGGTAAAATACAGACAGGTCAGCATAGCAGTTAATGCATGATACCACTTCCACTTAAATACACAGAAATGTTGGTTTGGCTTTTTCTCCAAACCAAAACAGACTTGTTTTATTTGTCCCCCTGAGTTGCCTAGAGGCGTTAAGATGCATATAGGTGGGGTAAGCAAGCTTGTGTCACTGTGAGTAGGAATCTCTCCCATTAAGACTAAATGACGAGCTAATATGTTGGCTTTGATCATTCCCTTCATGCCTTCCACGTGCACAGGCTCCAGTTCTCACTGAAGTCAGCAGCCAAAAAAAAAAAAAAAAAAAAAAAAAGTCTCTAAAAAACCTCTTGCTGACTTTGGGGGAGCAGGGAGAGCCGGGGAAGGGGGTACAGCTCAGACCAGCCACCCCGTGCCCCCGCCGGTTGGCAGATGCGGGGAGCAGACTGCGAGGGGCCGGGGGGGCTTCCACCTTCATTCAGCAATGGGGCAAAGATTTCCTTGTGCACCTGGAAGCGAAGGTTTGGGGTACATTAAGACATACTGGGCCAGATCCTCCCTGTGGGGTGGGCTGGCTACGGCAGCGGAGCTGGGTCCGGTGACCCCAGCTGAGGCCTTAAGGAAAGAGATGCTGGATCTGTAGTTTATTATTTGTTGGTTTGGTTTTGTTTTTTGTTGTTTTTTTTTTTTTATGTTGTTGTTTTTTTTGTTTTTTTTTTTCCTTTAAATAACTGGGTTACCTAAGACCTACCTATTAAAAACAGCTACACTCTATGCTGTAAGAGTAAGTTTCCCAACAATTTCACAAGCTAGCAATACAAGATAGGTATTGAAGAGATTGATATAAGGACAGCTTTCCGTTATGCAAAAGATGATTTTTCCTCTCCAGTTATTTAAGCTAACCTCCTTTAACACTCTTAGAATAAATTAATAAATACTAGTTAAATTAGAAACAGTACATCAGATCTGCCTATCAATAGAAAACAGTTCTAAGGATACCAATCAGGAGAAGAAAAATGATCTTATGAAATATGTGCAGCAATAACTGGCCATAAAGACATACGGAGCCTCCTATTTCCCAGCATTTGTGACGTTCAAGTTAATTAGAAGAACATTATCAATGGTTTAGGTCAGCTATCTAGCCTAGCCTCCTCCTCAAATCTAAAACATGAGTCCATATTCTTCCAGAAGAAGATTCAGTTGGCTACTGGTGGTGTACGAAATGCTCGTCTCCAGTTCGTATCATCGGTTTCTTGTCTGCATGGAATTTGTGGTGGGCGATGGGTAAGGACAGGCAGAGGCTGAGCTGCTTCTCTGTGGCTGTTCGCAGTTTTTCTGGGATCAGTCGAACCTTTACCGATGCTTATTGTCAGGAAAGCAGGAGTGTGCATCACATCTTCATGCTAGACAGTTGTTATTCTTATGCGGCTATCTGTATTTTCTATAGAGCTTTCCATTGTTGGTTAAAAAAGTTCTTTCTAATAAAAAAAAAAGTTGGTAGCAACTGTTCACATTTAAAATTTCACATTCCCCTTAGAATGTAGTTTTAAAACATGGAGCAGAGCTGATGTTTTCCCCAGTCTTACGCCGAGTACATTAGATGGAAAAGGAACAGAGGTTTTTTTTTTTTTTTTACACCACACCATCACAGCCTTTTCCTGAATTTTCTGCTTTTCCAATATCCATTTCAATAAAGTCATCTGGTAACTCCGGGACAACCTCTGCCGCGGTCTCCTCCGCGCACTGCTGCTGGCGGTGGCACAGCCCAGCCTTGCACGGTCTCACCAGGGACAGAAACACAGCACCCAGGACCATGCCAGCAGCACAGGAATAAAAGGCCGAGCTGTAGTTCTGTGTCGTATCCACTAAGACACCTACAGAAAACACATTTACAGCAGTTAACCACAACCGACTCTTCCTCTCCCTTGCCCATCCATCCCTCCTGTAGGATTTTTAATTTGAGTACCACTGCATGATTTCATTTGCAATCAAAAGATACTCAGTGACAACAGATGCTACCTTAAAAAAAAAAAAAAAAAAAAGTGAAAACATGGTGTTTAGCAGTACACAGTGTCATCTTCAAGCAAGTTAGAAGCCTCTGGGCACTGCAGGGATGCTAAGCCCGAGATGCATCAGGCATCTATTTATTACGATAAAGACTTCACCTTTCTGCAGCGCGTGGCAGAAACATGCACAGCGAGAGCAATTCGTTTCTGCTGTTTGCTAGAGCCTGAAGTGATGCCAGTTTTAGGTTTCTAACAGGAGCAGGGTAGCACTGCAGTATTTTCCTTTACTCTGAGGTTCCTCAGTGGAAACTGCCTCATCTGTGGGACTCTGCAGAGCTGCATTGCAGCAGTCTTCTGGCTCCAAGAGACTCCTAATACTAGTTGCAGGGCTTTTAGGATAGTACTGTGATTCACACTGCCAGAACACTCTCTAGACAAAGATCAGCACCAACAGCTGTCATACCAAAAAAAAAAAAAAAAAAAAAAAAAAGTTTTAGAGTTACCTGCAAGGGGTGGTCCAGCCAACCCAGCTAAGCTTTGAATGAAGACATAGACTCCAGCCGCAGAAGACATCTTTGCGATGCCAACCACGTCGTCTTCTGCCAGGAGGGGAATATGCGTGCCTGCTACCGTCCCGAGCATGAACCCAAAAAATATGCTACATGTCATCAAGCCCCAGAATTCAGAGGCAAAAGGGAAGGCAAACAACGCTACGGACAGCAGAACGACGCAGATGAGTTCAATGTAGATCTTGCGGATAGGCTTTTTGTTGAGAACCCAGCCAGCTGAAATTCTTCCAAAGACCTCTGCGATCGCCATGGCAGACAGTATGTATGCAGAGTGGTCTTTGCTGATGCCAAGGCTGAGGCTCAGTGGAATGATGTAGAGGGAGGGAGCAAAGAAGCCCAGAGTAGCAAACAGGCCAAAGAATGCATAACATATAAAGCTATAGTCTCTCATCACAGAGAAGTCCAGTAGTTTGGTATTTGGTTCTGGAGGGGTGCTGTTATTTTCAACAAGTATCTGTACGTGTTCCTTTGGTTCTTCACTTTTCGGCTCTGCTTTGGTGTTTCCAGGCACATTGCTGGGTGAGGTAGTTATTTCTACTCCTGAGTCTATGGACTCTATTGAGGTGCGTGTTTGCTCGTTTTCAAGCATGTACTTTGTCTCCGTGGGCTCTTCTGGAGGCTGTGCTTTCACTTCTTCTTGCTCTTTGATGATAATGGGTCGCAGCAGTGATCCGCAGATGACAATGCTTAGCTGGAGCACCCCGACAGAAAGGAGGCTGTATCTCCAGCCAATCTGCTCCTTCAAAGCAGTAATTGCTGAGGGAAGAGGGCAGAAGAAGAAAGTATAACTAGAAAAGCCTGTAGTTACACCCAGGAGCTATTTGAATTTCCAGCTAGTGAAGTAACTGGAGCTTCATCACTGGAGGCTCCCGAGCACCTCAGCTCTTGCAGGGGCTGAGCAGGGGTCCCTGCTGGACCATCCTGCCTGGGGCCACCCAGGGGTCTGGCACCCACATTCCTCCCATCAGTTGCAGGAGACAAGAGCTAGAAGTTGTAGTTAACATCGGGCTAGCAGAAGCTACCCTCTTGGTAGCCACTTCTGAGGTCCCCAGTCACTTTGGATGCGCAAGGACGAAAGTGGTGTTATTTTTAGTGAGTGAGAGCAAACTCAACATTCAAGTTTCCTCTCTCAGCTGACCCCACCCTGAAACCAACTACTAGAGGAAGTCTCTTAGCTCTACTCAAAGGTGCATGTCACTGCTTCATGAGGAGCCCTCATCTGCAACCAAAGCAGCTTTGCAACGGTTATTAGCTGAAAGGAAACGTGCGCAGCAGAAGAGCACCTCAGCTGCAGAGGACAGGCGGTGGCAGGGACGTGCTGCCTGGGGACAGGTCCCCAGAAGGCTGGAGCAGTTCAGCACCCCATGCTAAGCACAAGCCCACTAACCTTTAGGAGCAGTTGTGTGTGCTGTGCGTGTTTTAAATAGCTGAAGTTTCTCGGTCTTATTTTTAGCCTGCTAGATCTATATAGGGAACCCGTCGGGCTGCGTATCAGCGAGGCACGTCCTGCTCTGGCAGGCGATGCTGGGGAGGGCTCGGGCATCACTGGGCAGGTCTCTGGGATCACTTATAACCCTTCCCGCATCACTGGGATCACTTATAACCCTTCCCAGGGCACGAGTGCCACGGGCACGTGAGCAACCACCTGTGGGCTTTAGCAGCTCACAGGAAGGTCCACAAGCACCCTGGTATCGGTGGCCTTCGGCTCCCATTTGCTTGGGAAAAAGGACTGGAGCAGTGTCGAGCTTTAGGCATGCACGTGTGAACACCCAGTGATCGGGCACTGTACCTGGTGCAAAGGAGAAAACAGCAAAACATTCCCCTGTAGATGCCACTGCTGTGACCAGCGAACGTCTTTTGTCAAAATACTGTGATAAAATGGTGACAGTCGGGAGGAAAGAGAGGCAGTATCCAAGGCCTGTGAATAAATGCCAAAAATTGCCATAACAACAAGTAAGGGAGGGGGAAACACCGATGCAAGAACACGTTAAGTCAGCTTTCCCAGTGGCGAGATTACAGTATCATTTCGGCCAACTCAGCAAGTCACCCTGGAAGAAAATCATTGGGGAAACCAGAATGTTATTTTTTTTAAATTGGAGAGGGGAAAAGAAAAATATAAAAAAAAGAAAGAAAAAAACAAAACCAAGAGACCCAACCTCCCAAATCTGCTAGATAATGCCTTCTGTACCCCAAAAAACAGTGGGGTCCACTTCAAGGACCTCATTGCTTAAAGAATTTGAGCCTGTAGCAATTGCTCCCCTAAGCGAGGCAAACTCCTGGCCACGGACACGAGCAGGACACCCGGGCCAGATTGGAGAGGGGGTAAAGTGTCAGGAAAAAAAAAAAAAAAAAAGCAAAGAGATAAAGGGAGAGATTAGAGGATTTGAACCCGTGAACAGCTTTCATCTCCCCAGCGATCCCAGTCAATCAGAAGCAACCGGTGCGGCTGCACCAGCGCGGTGCGCTGCGGGACCAAGTCCCCGGGGTGGGACAGGGCAGAAAGCCAAGCCTTGAGCCCAGCTCACCTCCTCTGCCAGGAGGGAGAGGCCAGCTTAGAAGGGGCAGCACCATTTCTCAAGCATCCCGCCCCCCTCCCCCCGTGCCATGGGGAAGTCAAACCCCCCCCCCCCCCCCCCAACCCCCGGCCAGAGCCACGCTTGTGGGAAGCCGCAGGAGAGCGCGAAGCGTTCGGCAGGTACGGGAACAGGACGACTCACCAGAGATGACACCGATGGTGACATACATGTCCACAACAGTGCGGGCAAAGGAGGCGGTGACCATGCCGGTGCTGATCAGCACCCCTCCAGCCATCACCACAAAGCGGTGGCCGAAGCGATTGCTGAGGACCGTTGACAGAGGAGCTGGATGGGTGGGAGAGGAAGAGAGCGTCAACACCCAAGTCAGCAACTTCACCAGCTACCAGGCTCCTGCAGAGGCTCCTCTCGCACCCCTGCCCCGGTGACATGCCACCTCCCCTGCCAGCCGGCCTCACGCCGCAGAGCATCACCCTGGAGCCATCCTTGGAGCACAGCGCAACTCAAAGCACTTAGGATGTGCTAAAAAAAAAAAAAAAATCATCACGAGAGACTCAAGACGGGTGCGTGGCAGCCTGGGACAAACCTGCAGCAACGTCCACAGACACCAGTAGAGGCTCAAGTTCTTTCTAATCCTTTTCACTACAGAGTTGGGTTTCAAAACTCTTGTTTTCACCCCTTGCTGATAAGAGCCGGGCCGGGGTGAGCGACGCGGACCACGTCCCTGTACCGCACAGCACGACACGAGATGGGGCTCAGAGGGACTGCTGGGCTGAGACAGCCATTTCGTGGTGTTTCAGGAGCACGCAGCCTCCGGGCTTTATGGCTGTTACTTATAACGGAGCCATCAGAGACACGAAAGTCACAGGTACCAGGTCCACATGTGCTGAGTCAGCAATACGACTGCCCCTCGCACTCGCGCTGAACACCCGTTACTCTTACCTGTGAAGGTCTGTACAAACACACATATGGATATTATCCAGGATATCCTGCTGTTGGTTTCATCAAAGCTTTCCATCAGGTCATTGAAGAAAACACCAAATGATTTTATAATGCCGTACGTTAGAGCTTCCACAAAGAAGAAAGCAAAAGCAACTGTCCAACCCCATCCTCCGTCAGGCACTTTAGTATAAACATTTGCAGCGGTGCACGGCATTTTTACAGCTTTGACAGTCATTTTTTGATCTGGAAAAGAGGGGAGAAAGAACCAGGCATCAGTTTAAGATGAATTTTGCTGAAAGAGGCATGGCCTAGCAGCTGTAAAACCCTAAGGCACCACTAACCAGTCCCTGTGCTGCCGAGGGATTAAATGCAGGAGTTGGGTTGAAGTTTCTGCTTTTGTCACCCCGCGGGGCTGGTTTCTGCTGGTGCCCTTTGAGCCCAGGAGCAGAAACTCTCTGCTCAGCAGCCAGGCGAGCTGTTCCCATCAGCAAAACCCAGCGCCCGGGAGCTGTCATCTGTAGTTTGGTGCGTGGGGGTGGAGGGATGCAGTTCGTGAAAGATCCACCGCAGGACCCAGCACAGGCTGGTGGAGCCGCAGGAACCCCCCCCCCCGGGGAGCACCTCTCCTCCCCGCTGCACCCTCCTGCCTGGCCCAGGGTGGCCGGTGACACCTCAGTGACCCCCCCCCCCCCCCATTTGCTGCGGGGTCCGTCAACGATACAACCCACCGCCTCACCCTGCGGTGTCCTAAAGCCACCGCTGGCACTTGGGGTGACCCTAACTCCTCGGGAGCCTGCCCGTTCCCCAAAACGGCTGCCCCAGGGCTGCCCTCCACGCTGCAGTCTGGTAATAGGAGTTGGGGCCACCCCCCCACTACCACCAGCTCCCCATGCTGTCCCCTGCAGCCCTCGGGGTCACCGTCACCCCCCCAGGGCAGGAGGGGGGCTGAAGCCCTAAGGGCTGCTTGGGGATCACAGGGGGTGTGTGTGGGGGGGTCTTCAGCCCTGCCCCGTGTCACTCAGGACCCGTGGATGTGAGGGGGGGGGGGGAGTGGGGGCAGATTTTGTGTCCTGCACAAGGTGGGGGGGGTTCTCACCGAACCCAAGCGCCGTCACACCTGCACGGGGCAAGGGGGGACAGTCCTGGGGTCAAACCCCCGGCGCTGGCTCCCCCCCCGGCCACCCCGGGAGGGGACTGCGAGGTGACCGTGGGCAGCCACTGACCCCACGCCCACGGCGTCCCGGGCGCAGCGTGAACCTGCGGCTTTTGCGAGCGGCGCGTTTCCTCCCCGCGCCGCCGTCCCCAGCAGCCACCAGGCATTTCCCTCCTCCATTTTCTGCTCCAGATCATCGGCAGGACTTTCTCAGCAGAGGAAGCCAGAGCGGCTCCGGCAACGCTTCCCCATCCCACTGGGGAACTTCTCACGGAGGAGCAGGCGAGTGCGTGCGCTTTCCCGGTGACACCAGCACCGACACCCACCGGTGACCCGTGAGCAGCCCCACGGGAGCCTGGCCGGGGTGGGTGATGCAGGGGCTCACCCTAGCAGTCCCTTGAGTGGGTGTGTGTGTGGGGGGGGGGGGGGGGGGGGATTTGTGCGTGTCTCAGCACCCCGCGGACCCCTCTGCGGTGCTGCGTGGCGGGTCCAGGCTGGTGCACGGTTCCCTTGGGGGTTTTTCTGCCGAGGGATGGAGCGAGGCGTGGGCTCCAGCATCCCTCGGTGCCGCCTGTGCCCAGGCTCTGGTGCAGCCGGGGCTGGGTGAGGGGCGCAGGCAGGACCACCGCCGTGTGCCCAGGCGGGAGTTCAGCCTCTGCCTAAAGTTTGTGGGAAGTGCCTGGATACAACCCCCCGAGAGAGACACCAGGGCTGCAATGAATTCCTGTGTCACTGCACAAGAAATGGGGGGGGGAGATTAGATGAGAAGGAAGCACGCTATTTAAAAGCAGAAAAAAAAAAAAAAAACAAACCAAACCAAAACAAAAAAAAAACACAACAAAACCCCAAACCTTGGCGTACGTTATGTACGTTTAAAAATTAAAAGAAATTACGATGGGGGGGAGGAGGGGAAAATTAAAAATTAAAATGCCAGCGCTCAGGGGCCCGGCGTGGCCCCCCTTTCCCTGCATCACTTTCCGAACATTTCAGACCTGATTTCTGCATCGCCACCGCCGCACCGGCTCCTCGGCGGGCGCCGGGGCCGCCGGCTAAAAATAAAGGGATGCGGAAAAAGACGGGGGGGAGGGGGAAGCCAAAAGGTAGGTAAAATTAAAAATAATAATGATGCTGTTTTTTTTTTTTTTTGAAAAAAAAAAAAGCCAAACAACGCGCTCCCCCCTCCTTCCCCTTTTTTTTTTTTTGCTCCCCGGGCGGGAGCCCACTCACCGGGCGGCGCTGGGTGCTGCGGCGGGGCTAGGGGCTGCCCATGGCCGGGGCAGGGCGGGCGACCCTCGGCGGCGAGGAGAGGAGGAGGGAGGCGAGGAAGAGGAGGAAGAGGAGGAGGAGGCGGCGGCCCCTCCGGCCGCTGCTGCTCCCGCTGCCCGCGGCGGCGGCGGTTGCTCTGCGCTCGCTCCCGGCCCTTATATACCGGCTGGAGCCGGTCTCCGCCGGCGGCTCCGCAGCGCCATGTGCGCGCCGGGCCCGGCTCGCCCCAGCGCCGGCACCGCGTGTGCGGAGGGGGCGGTGCTGGCGGCGGGGGGGGGGGGGGGGACGGGACACCCCCACCCCAAACCTCCACCACCCCCAGCCCCCCAAACACTCCCCCCCCCCCCCCTCCCCGCTTCTCCCAGGCCGGCACCTGCTGTGGGTTCCACCCCCCTCCCCAAACACACACACACACCCACCCCCCCACGCACGGCGGGGGGGGGGGGCGGGTTGCGGCCCCACCGGGGGTGGAGCGGAGGCGGGAGCAGCGGGTCTCCGCCGGTTCGGCCGAGCCGGAGCTGTGGCCGCGCTGCGGGGAGGGCGCCGGGCCCCGGTGAGGGGGGGGGGGTGTGGGGGGGCGCCGCAAAAGCTGTGCCGGTGCAAAGAGCGGGGGAGGGGGGAGAGCGGCACCGGGAGCAGATTTGGGTCCCCCCTCTTCGCTCCCCCCTTCCCTATAGCAGGGAGTCTAGGAGCCCGCTCCGGTTTGGGGTTGAAGTTTTGCGCCTTCGGTTTGCAGGAGAGGCCTCGATTTCCTTTTGGGAAAGGGATGAGATGGTGCAAGTCGAGGGAGGGGTGAGAGCAAAGGGGATTCCCGCACGCTTTAGGCCCTTTTGGGCAGCGTGGCCGGGATCCAGCTGCTTGCTTCCCCCCCTCCTCGCCCCTCCGCAGCGGGATGCAGTGCCGGAGCATCCCCGGGTTTGGGCTCGCAGTGGGATGCAGTGCTGGAGCATCCCCGGGTTTGGGCTCCCGGTGGGATGCAGTGCCGGAGCATCCCGGGTTTGGGCTCCCGGTGGGATGCAGTGCCGGAGCATCCCGGGTTTGGGCTCCCGGTGGGATGCAGTGCCGGAGCATCCCCGGGTTTGGGCTCGCAGTGGGATGCAGTGCCGGAGCATCCCCGGGTTTGGGCTCCCGGTGGGATGCAGTGCCGGAGCATCCCCGGGTTTGGGCTCCCGGTGGGGCAGGCAGCCGCCATCCCATTTGCCGTACAAGCTGCTGGGGATGGGACGGGAGCAACTGGGACGGGGCTGAGCACACGCCGAAGCCCTGCGCGCCGTTTCTGAGGACACCAGCGTGCGCTCGTCCCCTCCCTGCTTCATTCTTGCGGGCAGCACGTGTTGCAGTTTTAGGGGAAAACATCTCCTTTATGTAGGGAACTTAGAAAGTTGTGATTTGTGACTCAAACTGGAAGCAAGGGAGAGGGACTTGGCACCTATATGGATGGGGAAGGAAGGGAGTGGGGGGGTCGGATATCTGGCACGGGGAGCCCGCGGTTCAGCACTGCTCAGCAAAGGAGGATGGAGGTAAAGCTTTAGGGTTTCTCCTAAATTTCATTGGAACCAGTAGAAAAGAGGGAAAGGTGACAGCGCTGCGTTTGCCGGCTCCCTGTGCCGCCACTGCCAGTGCTGGCCGCGATGTGCTGGGCGCGGATGGACGCTGCCGGGGAGGGTTTGGAGCCTCGTGCTGTTCCTCGGGGCGAGTGGCTTTTGCCCGCAGGTAAGAGCAGAGGGCTCCGAGCGGGCCAGTGGCTGGACCCCTCCTCGCCCGCCCTCCCGCACCAGCCCAGGGCCCCGCTGCACTTTGCTGGGTTAAAGTGGAACCTGGCGATTCTGGTTCATACCCCTGGAAAAATTACTCAGGTTAAAATGTTCCTTCAGTGCCTCACCCCTGTCAGCAAGGGCTGCTGAGTTTGATTTGGCAGCAGTCCCTTCTTTTGGTTTGCCTTTTTTTTTTTTTTTTTTTTTAAATGGGAGTTGCTAGTGAGGCAGTGCAGATAAGGGTAGCCGGCAGCGGAGGCAAAATTCTGCAAACTTCTGACAAATCAGGCAAATTAGCTATTGCTTTTGCTCGGTAGCTTCGAGAAAGCTGCTGCTGGTTTCTCATGGCAGTGCTGGTCCGGCGGCTGCTGCCTCCAGCAAGCTGCTGGTGCTTTTGTCCTCGCAGGGAGGTTTCAGCAGCTTCACCCCTCGCGGTCCCGTCCTAAACAAGCTAAAATCCAGTCGCTGGGCCATGGGGAGCGATGGGACTGCGCCTCGTGTGTCCTCGGGGAGCCTCGTATCGCCCTGTCCTGCGGGAAACCCCCTCCTCTGAGGTTATGCCTTTCAGGGCTACGGATAAAGGGCAACCACCTCCTCTGGCCTTGAAGAGCCGATAGATATCCCGTTACACAAGCTTTTCCTTGAGAATGGGTCACCCTCCCCGAGCTGTAATTCTTCCTGGCAGCGACAGTGCAAGTGGTTATGGGACAACAAAAGAGGTTTGTGCCTCCAGGGGAGAAATAAGAATGCAAATATCTTTGGCATGAAAAAACAAAGGCGATTTACTCCTTGGTATTTCTTGTCAGTACTTTGCATCTGTCTCTGCTTCACCTTCTCATTCCTTTGCTTTGGGCTTTCCAAGTGCAATAAGGCTTTGGGGAGCGATGGGGGCTGGAGGGGCCCCGTGGGAGGGACGGGGCTGGTGGCTGCAGCCTCTCCGCCCCGGAGCTTCCCAGCTCCGCTCTGAAATCCTTTTGCCCCCCATATTGTTTGCCCACTTTGGGGGGATTTTCCCTGCCGCAGCCTGGCCCCGGGGAGGGCTTGGCCGTGTCCCGCCGGGATGCTTTGCCCCGGCACATCCCTCATGGGTTCGTCCTGTGCCTGGCAGCGGTTCGCACCAGGACCTGCTTCTCCATCTTCCAGGGGAATTCTGCAGCGCTCCCAGCCCGGGTGCGTGGCCGGTGTTTGAGGGCTCTGTCAGCTCTAGCGAAGGAGAGCAACCATCCCGTCAGTGGGCATAAATCAGCTGGGAACTGGAAAGCAGGGCGGGCTGCAAACAGAAAGGGAGCGCGGGCCCCTGCTTTCTGCCGCCGGATGGGTCAGGGACTTCCAGTTCATTTATTCTGCTGGGGTTCGCCCAGCCCTGCTCGGCATGTGTAATGTTTTTTCTGAAAGACTTAGCAGTTAGATGGGTGAAAAACATTCTCCTGTCTCAGGAGCTGGCAGAAATCCTAGTAAATCTGCAGAAGTATGTTTTTGTCGGTGCTGCTTATTCTGTTAGGGGAACTAGTATAAACTATTCCAGTAGAAAACCTTTTCCTGGAATAAAGTCTTGACTCTGTTCAAAGCATTGTCAGGACAGTTATACCGGGAACAGAGCTTTGGTGGTAAACATGCAGGGAGCAAGAAGGCCTAATGGGGCAGACACAGGGCTCGTGCACCCTCTGCCCCACAGATGAACCCCTTGCAAGGCACCTGCCACCCATCCCTGTGCTTGAATTAAAAAAAAAAAAACCAAAACCAAAAAATCTGTGCACGGTTAATTTGCAAACAAAACATGGATTTTTTTTTTTTTTTTTTTTCCTCCACCCTAAAAGCCTGGCTGTCCTAGCTGGGATGTGCCACCCAGTCTGGGGCTGGGCATCCCTTGGTGGGGTTGGGGTCAGTGCCATGGGCCACGCCACGGGGACCCATCCCCATCCTGCGTCACTCAGCAGCCGTGGGGTCTGCACGCAGCTTGAGCGATTACTTCTCCTTGTCTGCCTCAGTTTCCCTGACTCAGTCCGGTTGATGCGAGAGGTGATGCTGGGAGCCCCCGGGGTGGTCCTGGGGTAGCAGGGGGTGCCCTCTCCAGTTTGAATTTCTCATCCCCTGCTGTGTCCTTATCTCCCTGCTCCTCACAGTGGGGACTGGGATGCCTTCTGGGGCTTTCAGCAGGAGAGCAGGGCGTGGGTTTGGGCCAGAGATCAGAGCTGTGACACCCCGGGTGGGGTGCTGGCAGGGGACAGCTCGGCACAGCCGGGTGTGATTCAAAGGGCAGCAGGTTTTTCCGGGCTCCGGCCGCTGCTTTGCTCTCCAGGCAGGCGTGAAAATGTGAAAGAATGTGAAAAATGTGAAAATGATCGTGCTGGCCCCAAGATTTGTAAACTTCTGGTTAATGTGTAATAAATACATGACAGATACTCCCAGCACTGGGTGGGTGACCACGGCCACTCAGTGGTGGCACAGCCGGTGGTGGCATCCCCCCTACCCTGGGGCCAGCCCCAGGGTGTCCTGCACAGCTGGTTGGAGAGGCTTTGGGGCTTTTCTAAACTGGTTTATCTGGTCTCCACTTATCCCTTATCTTTCTGTGAACTGTCTTGTCTGGCTTGAAAAAATGCTCTTTGTTTTAGTTGTTTAATTCTTCCCAGGTACAAAGTGGGTGCTGTGAAGCCCAGCTGCACAGCGTCCAGCCCGAGCGATGCTGGTGCTCGCAGCCCAGTGCTGGTACTGGTTACCAGGAGGCCTCAGTTCCTGGGGGTGACTCTGCCCAGGTACCTCCTCAAGCTGTAACCACCAGTGCAATATTTCCTTCTTGGCACAAAGTACCGCCCCAACCAAGTTCCCACCTGGGGGAATCTCTTCTGAGTCACTTTTTTTTTTTTTTTTTTTTTAAATAGCTAAAAGATGGTCCTTCAGCTCTGCGTGGTTCTGGTTGTAGGGGAACAGAGATGGTGCTGAAGGGCAGGTCCTGGCACGGCGGGGGCCCAGGGCTCTCCTGGCACTGCTGGAGGCCATGCGCAGCGGTGGGCAGAGCCGGCACAGCCCTGATTCACCCAGGAATTCGAGATCGAAAGGGTGGGAGAGGTGCCTCTGCCGAGGAGCTGGGAGGAGAGCGCGCTGGGCTTGGTGCTCCAGCACGTCCTCGTGCTCCACCGGGGTTTGGACCTGCTGGGGACGGGGATGGATCTGCAGGAGCCGGGTGGGATCCTCACCAGCACATCCCACCTTCCACGGGCTGCCTTCCGCCGCTCCTTCAAATGGCCTCTGAGCATCAGAGATCAAGAAGTTTTGTCTGGCTCTAATGCATAAATTTCAGCCCTGGATGACTTTCCCCTGTAATTTAGAGAGAAGAGAGTGTCCTTTGAAAATGGTTTTGGTTGTTTTTGTTAGCCGTGTCATCCTGGCATCCCTCCCCAACGTAAATGGAAAGGACAGGGGTTTGTGGGCGAACATGGGTTCGGCTCCCTTGGGTTTTGCTCGGTTTTTCTGGGTGGCTGCAGGTGCTGACGGGGGGGTCCCCAGTTCATGTTGTGTGGTGCAGGGCCACCCCCCCCCCCCGGGGACGGGACGGGGTCCGGCACGGTGCTGCGCGGCGGATGCTCGGAGAGGCTGGGGGTGGATGCAGGGACTGTGCTCAGGCTGGCGAAGGGGCCCAGGAGCTGCTGGATGCCAGCGAAGGTGCAGGATTACGTGGTGCAGCTTCCTGGAAAGCGTGAGCACCACCCATCTTAGGCACCACTCAGCTGTGATGGTTACGTGAGGCTCAGCTGAAATTTGTCACTTTATTTTACCCCTCCAAAACCAGTTCCAGTGCTGGGCAATCTTCTGCTCTGTCCCCGTCCGCGGGGAGCCCCGGCCAGAGCTGAGATGGGGCTGAGATCACCCTGGGCTGTGCCCAGGTTAATCCGTGCTGTTCCTCTGAAGCTGGTAACTCAAGCCCGTGCTTTCCTTGGTCCAACTGGGCTCAGCCCCTGCGTGGGGGTGTTGGACAGAAGCAGGGCTGCTCTTTTCAGGCACCCATCCCCAAAGAAACCCCAAGGGCTATTCAAAGAAATTGCAAAGGGAATTTTTAAATGGGAGAATAAAAGCAACTGTGCCACCGTCAATATGTCCAGATACCTAATCTCGATTCTTCTTGCTGTTTGGCAGTTCAGGGCATGAGGGACGAGCCGTGGGTGTGCAGTTAGGGTGCAGAATGGGAGCTGGTGTTCTTCGTTCAGGCAGGGCAGGGCTCAGCCCCCTCCCATGCCTCACCGCATCCCACCCCCCTTAATTACTGTACCAAGAGCTTCGAGGCCCTGGGATGGAAATTTAGAAACTAGGCTATGAATTATGAATGGAGTCACATCCCCGATCACTGCAGTCCTGAAGCTGCTGATCTGAGCGACAGCCCAAAGCTTTAAAAAGATATGAAGAGTGAAAAGTGGGAAAAATTTGCTTTGTCAGCTACAAACCTCTTGGCCTACAGATGGGGCTCATCATATTCCCTCTCCTGCCTCCTCCTGTCACCTTCTCTTTTGTTTTCCACTATTACCTTCTCTCCTCGCCCTCCTGGTTTCTCTTCATGGATGTTGTCCTGCTTGGCTGTGTTGACCATCCATGGGGGCTGCATCCTCTGTGGCACGTTCCTCCCCCAAGGTTGCTGGTACCAGTTGGGGACATCGGCGGCAGTGCTGGTCCCAGCTGGGTCCTGCTGGTCCCCACTGGGGTGCAGGTCCCCACACCATCCCCACAGCTGGGGCAGAGCTCATCACGTGGGACTCAGCGGGGTTTTGGCAATTCTCTGCTGCTTCACCTCCCTTTGGCCATAACTTTGTGCTCAAGACGTTGTATTGCACGGCTCCATCTCTGCCATTGGTCTTTGGGGTGTTTGTCCTTGAACTTCTCCACTCCTGGAGGCCAAATCCTGCTCTAAGAAGCTGTGTGTGCTTAATCCTGTAAGCCCAGGTATTTCTGGGGTTTATTGCCCTCTGGGTTTGCCTGGATTTCTGCATTCTTGCCTCCGGGAGCGGCTCCCTCCCAGTTCCGCATGGCTGGCAGCGGGGCTGCGTGAGCAGAACTAAATTTAAAAAATGAGTTTTGGAAACTTCTCAGTTTTTACAAATGAAGGCAAGGCCCTGCACATTGCCCTCCGTGGTGCTGGGAGCGAGCAGCGCCGCTCCCCAGGGGTGACAGCACTGTAGGAAACCAGCCCAGCCTGAGCGATGGATGCGGGAAAGGGGCACTTGTTTCCAGTTCTTACCAGTTGAGCCATCACGAGCCAGGCAGCAAAAAATACAACTGCAAAGGCAAAATCTTGGTGCCTGGATAAAGCGTTCTGCCCCAGGCTGGGGTGCAGGAGGGCTTCAACAGGTCCTGAGTGCGTCTTGTTTGTCTTGCACAGGGGATGCTGTAGCCGTGCAAGGTGAAGGACGGACCGACAGCCGCCGGCAGAGCCGTGGCAGTTATTTACCCTCCTGAAGCGAGGGAGGCCAGCGCTTCGGCGAGCCGAGGAGCGCAGTCTGCAGGGAAAGAGCCATTTGTCAGACACGAACATCCCCCCGAGGGCTGCGAGGGGAGAGGGGCCGCTGCCGCAGCTCGAGCACGCTTCTGGAGGGAAAAATACCGCTTGGGTTCGGTGTCTAATGAGATATTTACCAGGAAGGAAAGGAAGTTAAAAATAGAGTGACAGTGACTTCAAAGGGTGTTTTTGACTTCTAAGAATAATACCTTTGCTGGCACCGATTTCAGAAATATTGGCTGTGCCTGGGTGTGAAACACAGAGGAGACGTTGCGGCTCGGTCGGTAGCCGAGGGAGCAAACCCAGACCTCCCGGCCCGACCCCGCGGGAGCAGCCAAGGAGGGGACGTTCGCATCGCCGCGGGGGCCCGTGGGGAGCTCAACTGCATCCGCAGGGCCGCAGCGGAGGGAGTTTGGGGAAGGCGAAGCCGCCGGTGCCCCGGCGTGGGTGGCACCATGGGGTCCCCCTCCCCGCGGGCGCTGGTGGTCCTCGCCGCGGCGCTGGCGGGGCTCCCGGCTCCCCGAGCAGCGTACGGGCAGCCCAACTTCATCGTCATCCTGGCAGATGATGTGGGCTGGGGGGATCTTGGGGCCAACTGGGCAGAGACAAAGGAGACCCCGCATTTGGATGAGTTGGCAGCCGAAGGGATGAGGTAACGTCTGTCCCCCCTCCCCAACCCTCTCCAAGCATCCCGGGTTAGTCTGTCCCGCAGCACAGTGGGTTTCCCTCCCACGGCGGCTGGCAGGCGAAGGGGGTGTCACTGGTGTGGTTTGGGGTGCACGGGGAGGGTGGCTAGAGCCCAGCACCTCAGGGTGCAGATCCATCGATCCCCGCTGGGACCTGCGAGCTTCATCACCCGCTCCAGACCCTCCTCCCTGGGGCGAAAGGGGACAGGGGAGCAGGGAGGGCCAGGGCAGCGCGGGAGCTTGCGAGCGAAAGGGTCTTTTTGTTTCCTAGGTTCGTGGATTTCCACTCGGCCGCGTCCACTTGCTCACCGTCCCGCGCCTCTCTGCTCACGGGGCGCCTCGGGGCGCGCAACGGGGTGACCCACAACTTCGCCGTCACGTCGGTCGGCGGCCTCCCCCTGAACGAGAGCACCCTGGCCGAGGTCCTGCGGGAGGCCGGGTACAGCACGGGGGCTATAGGTAACGCCCGCCGCGCCGAGGGTGCGTCCGGGGTGGGGGGCGATGGCGGGGGGGAGACGAAGCAGCCCGTGTCCATCCATGCGGAGGAGATAGTTAGGTGGCCTGCTGGCTATTAAAGGAAAGTCTAAAGGATCACACGGGAGAGATTTTGCACCTCCCCCTTGGATTTTGCAAGCCCAAGCTTAAAAATCTTCATTTCCAAGCGTCCGATATTACCTGAAATCCAGGCCCTCCCCAGTTAAGCTCCGATCGCTTCACCTCACGGGGAACGCGCCAGGTTTTCCTTAGTAAACGTGACGGCGCACAGCCACCCTGTGTGATGCCACTGGTGCCACTGGCCCCCGTGGCTTTGGGCACCCTCCTGTCACCGTGGGTCGCCCCAGCCTGCGGGTTTGCACCTGCAGGTCCTGTTGCTTGCCCACATGGTGCTGGCAGAAAAGCCCTCGGTTTCTCCTTTCCCCCGTAGTTTTTGCAATCCTCTCTCTTGGATCGGCGCATTTGGAGGGAGCAAGAGCGTGCTGGAGGTTCAGGGGACGAAGCTGGTTGGTTGGGAGGAGTTAGAAAGTTGTCTTCTCTGAACACGAATGTGTGAAAGAGCCTTTTAAGACTGGAAGCGGTTGATTTGCACAGACATGAGATACCTTACGCATTTTTTTCTGAGTTTCTGAAAATAAAAAACCAAAACCAAAACAAAAAAGGCATTCTGGAAACACAGCCAGCACAAAAGTAGCCTTTCTCATTGCTAGATTAAAGCCCCCAGTGCTGTGGACGCCTCGTGGGTGATAACTGGTGGTGGCTGTAGCTGTGTTAACCTCTGAAATGATGTTCTGTGGCTTCCACGCAGGCAAGTGGCACCTGGGACACCACGGCCACCACCACCCCAGCTTCCGCGGTAAGGGCTGCGCCAGCGGGGACGAGCCGAGCAGCCTGGGCTCGCCTTGTCCCCGCCGACACCCTCGCTTGCCCCTCAGGCTTCGACTACTACTTCGGGATCCCCTACAGCCACGACATGGGCTGCACGGACACCCCCGGCTACAACCTGCCGCCCTGCCCGCCCTGCCCGCGGCACGGCGCGGCTGCCAGGTACGGGGGTGCGAGTGCCAGCACGGGGGAGGTGGGTGTTTGCACCAGTGTCCCCAGCCCCAAGAGCTGCCCTTCGCTGCGGTCACCTCCCCTTATGCTCCAGGCACCCAGTTTCCCCGCTGTGCAGCCCGCAGCGGGGCGCAGGTCGGGGCGGTGGGTCAGTCCTAAGGCACCTTGGGCCACGGGGACGTCGCCATCGTCCCCTTTCTTCTCCCCTCCTCGTCTTTCTGCGGAGAGGAGAGAACAGTCAGGCTCCACGCTCGCTGCCACGCTGGTCCCTGCTCCGGTGACAAGCGTGGGGTGGCTTTTTCCCAGCAGGATCGTGAGGAAGGACTGTTACACGGAGGTGGCCCTTCCTCTCTTCGAGGACGTCGCCATCGTCCAGCAGCCCGTCAACCTCAGCAGCCTGGCGGCACGCTACGCAGAGGAGGCAGCGCGCTTCATCCGGCGGGCGAGGTGAGATGCCACCCGCCGCCCCCCGTCCCCCTCGCCGGGAGAGCTCGTGGGGCGCCGCAAGAGTCTCCTGCAGCGCGTCGGTGCGGCGCCGGGGCGGGGGGGGGACACACGGGTGTTGCCCCACGGTCCTTGGGGAGCAAATCCCAGGTCTCCACGGCTTGGATTCCCATCCGGCTGGAGGAGGGAGAAGCCACCGAGGCTGTCACCGGTGTCCTGCGGGGCTTCCCCTGGAAGCCTTCTGGTGGGTCTCCTCTAAAGGTATCGTGTGTGTTTAAAACCATCATTTAGAGTGAAGGTCAAAGCCTTAAAGCTGGGCTGTGCCTCCTTCCGGGGGCAGCGAGATCCCGGCTAGCGAGGGTGGGAGGGAGGGAAATGCTGCCGTCCGTCTGTCCTCCGTCCCGCTGTCTTTGCAGTGGCACAGGGTGATGCGGCGGGGGGGGGGGGGGGGCTCCGCGGGGCAGCGGAGGTGCCTCTGTGGGTGGGGGATGGCGTGGGAGTGGGTGCTGGATGGGTGCCCACGGCAGCTCCGGCGGCAGGACCAGAGGCAACACCCGGGGGTGCTTAAACTCACCCCGTACCTGGGGTTTGATCCATTTTGGGAATAAAGTGCTTCGCGGCCCCTGGGCTTCGGGGTCAGCCTTCCCCAGGCGCGCCGGGACACGGGCAGCCCGCGCGTGCCCTTCCCCGAGGAGCAAAGCGGCTCCTCCGAGACGACGACCCCGAAGCTCTGCTGACGGGTTGTGTAATTTTAATCCCTATTATTGGCGGATTATGAGCTGTGACTTTGCAAAATGCCTCCCTGCAGCGCCAGGAGGGGAAGCGCTACCGGGCAGCCGTGCCAGAGCCTGTCCCGCGCCTGCACCCGGGGATAACACAGCCTCGGGGAAGGGCCACGGCGGGGGGGTCCCGCGGGGGTGCTGGGGGAGAGCTTTGGGTAACGGGGGGCAAACGAAGGGCTGGGTAGGGAGCAGCCTGCGGGGAAATGCCTCCTTGTAAGCCTGGTTTTGTGCGCACAATGTGTGTAATTGGTCCCCTTTGGGTACCAGGAGTGGGCCGCAGCGTGGCCCGGCCGCTGTACCGGGCAGCAGGGGTCCATCCCCCGCCAACCCCCAGCCCTCGGGGCTGCGAGGATGCTCCGAGGCTGTGAAGCCAAGCGGGTGAGCTCCGCGCTAATAGGAAAAACCTTTCAACTCCCAATAGTATTTTGGGGTTATCTGCGTTCATGGAGAACAGGATTAAGCAGGTGCCTGCTCTTTTTTCTCCTTCTCTTTGATGGCTTATTCCAGTTTTCCTCTGCCTGACTCATTCATTACAGGGCAACAAAAGAACACCGGATTTGTCATCTCGGTGTTTTTTTAACCAGTCATGTCAAGGTTGAGCAATTCATGGCTCTGTCCGGGACACTTAGAGTGCGGCGAACATGGGAGCAAAAGTCAGGGGCGTTTGTCTTAAATTATTGATGAAATGTTTGCTCGGTTTTCGGGAGGATCCTGAAATGTTGATGCGAAAAAGCGAGCGGAGTGTTCAGCTGAACGCGGTGGTCATGAGTCTGTCTGGATGCTGGAGTCCCCCTGATGCCCTCAGGTGGGACACGAGCCAGGGGGAAGCAGCTTTCCCCGCTCCAAGGTCTCTGACATCCCAAGGGAAAAGGTGCCGCGTTGCCTTTTCAAGCAGTGATTTGAAAAAGGTGCATCAGCACCCCCGTTTTGCAGGGGCTGGGCAGGGGGGCCGGGGGGCCGCAGCCCTTTGCAGGGCTCCAGCGCCGCTCGGGAAGGATGCGGCAGCTCCGGGCAGGATGGGATTTACTCATTTTCCATCCCCAGGTGGGTGACGGGTAAAGGAAGGAAGTGCCGAAACGCACGTCGGAGGGGCCCTGAAAGCTTGTTGGAGGCAGCGATGGGGTGGCTGGAGCCGGGCGCGTGCGCGGGCTGGGACACGTCCCCGGGATCCGGCCCGTCCCCGCCGCTCGCCATCCCACCCTTCCCCTCGGAGGTCCCTGAGGAAGAGCGGGCCTCGTTGGAGGAGATAAATATAGCCGTAAACAAGAAAACAGGACGTGTCCTCTGATGATTTAAAAGCAAACAGGCAGCGGGGCAGCGCGCGGCGAGCGAACGTGCCGCCTTCCCTGTCCGGGGCTGCTCGGCAGCACCGAGGCCGCGCTCGAGGTCGGTGTGCATGTCCTCCTGCGGCTCATCCTCCGCTAAAATCACCGTCGAGGGGCCGAGCGCTTGCTGGGGACGGGAAGGAAGGGCCAAAATGGGCCCTGCGAGAAAAGGGAGGGAGGTGGGCGGGTGCCACAGCGGGCGTTCGGCTGGCGGCTGGCACGCCGCTGGCTCTGGGACACCGGCGAAGGGGCAAACCTGTCCCCAAATGGGAGGACAAGGGACAATGGGGAGAGGTTTAAGCAGGAGCAGGGGAGAAGTGGCTCACGCTGCAGCGAGCATCCCCCCCTGCCAGGGGAGTGAGCGCCCGGAGGGTTTTCATCTGGCTGGTGCACACAGGGAGGTTTTTCCCCCCGGGTGCTGCAGCAGAGGCAGGGGTGGCACCCAGCCTGCGTCCCCAGGCTCAGCAGTGCCACCCCCCCCCCGGTGACCTCCTGCTGCCACATTCCCCTTCCCTGACCCGGCTGAAGACTCTCCCCCTCTTCCCCGCACAGCGACAGCGGCCGTCCCTTCTTCCTCTACCTGGCGCTGGCCCACATGCACGTCCCGCTGGGGGTCCCCCCGCCGCCGCCCCCCGCCTCGGGCAGGGGCATCTACGGAGCCTCCCTGAGCGAGATGGATGCCCTGGTAGGACGGGTAAAGCGGGTCGCCGACAGCCACGGAAAAGGCAACACGCTCCTGTGGTTCGCAGGTACAGCAGGAAAACGGGGGGGCTGCACCGGCACCAGCCCCCCGGGGATGTGTGTGGGTGTGGGGGACACACCCACACCCACAGGGACCCCTGTTTGTCCCCTGCCCTCGATGCTCCCCGGCTGCTCTGCGGATGGGGAGTGATCAGCATCTGCGGCAGAGCTGCCCGGGGCTGTCACATCGTGGGGACGGGGGGCCCGGGGTGCTGCGGCCGCTTGGCCGGGCCCCCCCCCCCCCCCCGGCCGTGGGGCTGAACCGGCAGGGCCCTGCCTAATTAAACTGCAAATCCTCGTTCATTAAGAAGCCCAAATCCGCTCTCGCTGAGCGGCCTCCCTAATGAGGATGTCTCGCTCCTGACGACAGGAACCGCTCCGCCGCTCATTAACGCCCAAAGCTGGTGGCAGCCGCCCCCCCCACCCCCCCCCCCCCAGCACCCCAGTTCCGCTCCAGTCCCTCACCCAGGACTCGGCCAGCCCCAACCCTTGAAAATGAACTGTCAGAAATAAAAATAAAGAAACCCACTGCTCTTGTTAATGTGGGAGCACATCACGGGGGTGGGAAGGAGGGACGGAGGGGTCACTTGTCCTTGCCCGCCCCCCCCATTGCGGCGGTGTCCCCTCCCAGCCCCCTGCTCCCAGTGTCGCTCATGGGGACATTTCTTTTCTCTTGCAGGTGACAACGGCCCCTGGGCACAGAAGTGCGAGCTGGCGGGACGCCTGGGTCCCTTTGTGGGTGCCTGGCAGAGGCAGCGAGGTAACCCAGCGGTGTGGGGGGGCTCCCTGTCCCCAGGGGTGCAGGGGGGGCTGCCCCACAGAGCCCCTTCATTGCCCATCGAGAGAGACAAGGGGAACGTTTCCCTCTCCAACCTTTCCTCTGGCTGCTGCTGGGCTGCATTGCCTTGAACACACCCCAGAATCATTTTTTTCTTTCAAGCAGTCAGTCAAGTTTTCCCCTAAAACTTCTGCTGGGGGGGTGCTGAGGCCCCCCAGGTCGCCGTTACCCCGGAGGTTGAGGCGAGTGGCTGTTGGTTTTGGAAATGGGATGCTCTCAGCGCCCAAGCCATTGGCTCCATCAGGGTCTCTCGGTCCCCAGCCCCATCCTGCCTGGAGGAGAGTGCCCGGCAGCCCTAGAAACTTTGCTTTTCTTTCTCTCCATATTTTGTTTTTTATTTATTTTTTTTTTTTTCCCCTGCCTTTCCTCCTTTTCCGGCCAAGCCATCTGCTTGGTGGGTTTATTTCAGCCCGAGCGGCCAGAAGCACGCATGAGTCAGGCGTTTCCCACTTCTGCTTGTATTACGCAGTGTAAACGCACGCCGGGCTCGGTTCCCCTCGTTGCTCGGGGTCAGCGGGGAGGGAGCGGAGGGGCCGCGGGCGGCAGCGCCTCTTTCCTCCTCCGCTTCCTGACACCCCGGCGATGCAGCCGTGGCCACTTCCCCAGGCAAAGGCTGCCGCCGGGCTGGCTCGCTTTCCCCTTCCCAGAACCCTTCCTTCAGCTGGCCCCGGGATGAAATCGTAACCTAAATTTTTTTTTTTTTTTTTTTTTTTTTTTAGTAAACAAACCCTGCTGACGACCTGGGTATGCTCTTGAGCAACCGACGGTCACAAGTCAGAGCAGATGGTACAGGCAGTGCAGCGTTTGGGAACAAAGCTGGGAAAACACGGCCCCTTCCCAGCCTCTCGCTGCCCTGCGAAAACACCCCGAGCCCTCGCGATCGCGGGAGGCTGGGCAGGAGGTCGGGCTGGCAGGGCTCTAGGAGCTGGCTGGAAATACCAGCCGGGAAGGATGACTTCTGAAATCCCTCGGCTGGTTGTTGCACGGATGGTTTGAAAGCCAGCCCGGTGTTACTGTCTGCTACCGGCGGGTCGAACGCTGCAAACGCCCGCTGGCGTGGGTGCTGGGTGGGTGGGATGCCCGGCCAGCCCATCCCGGGGGCTTCGTCCCCCGGCGGGGAAAAACCCTTTGCGGAGCGGGAGGGCAGGGGACAGCGGGCTGCTCGGGACTCTGGACGTTTCACATAGCTTGGCGTTTCTCCTTTTAGGGTCCATCCCAAATTCCAGGGGGTGTTTTCCATTGATTTTGGGTGGTCGCTGGAGTCGGTCCTCGCCTGGAGAGAGCGGCACGTCCGTGCGTGCTGCCCCCCTTCTCCTGTTGGGGAGCTTCCCGCAGTGCCCAGCCCACCCCAAAAACTCACCTCCTACCTCAGGGCCAAGAGCCCAGCAAGGGGGGTGCCAGGATGGAGCTTTGCATTTCGGGGATGTGATGCTGGGCATGTTTTGATGCAGGTTTGAGAGACTCAAGACCTGGTGTCCCCGTGCCGGGGACCTGCTGCGCGTGGCAGGAGGGTGACCAGGGGTTTCATCCCGGCATGGGAATGCTCAGTTCAGCTTTTCCTGGAAAGCTGTGGCCTCCACGGACCCCACAGCAGCAGGGCTGCGTCATCCCTGCTCTGGAGAAAAATCCCCGGTTGGTTTTGGGGTGTTTCAGCCCTGTTTACTGCCCAATAGTACTTGGGTGGCTGGAGGGAAATACCCACGCAGTGTCCTCCTGGAGACCCCCCGACCAGGCATGGAAACCCCTTGAAGTGCCTTACTGGGAGGATGAGTTATTTAATAGACCTGCAGAGAGGGGGATTGATATTAATTGCTGTAATTGCTATAATTTTCTAGGGCATCTGAAGGCAGGGGAGGCAGCTTGCTTAAGCCGTACGTGACGCGTGTTGGAAGCGCTGTTACATTTCCAGTGGCCACGCGAGATCCCGGTACCGGCTGCGTGCCGTCACGTCAGGCCCCAAAATGATGCTCACGGGGGGGGGAAACGCCAAAAGTTGGGGTGGGGAGCGGCAGAGATCGAGGATGTGCTCGGCCCAGGGCGGCAGGACAAGTCCTCGTGCCGCCAGCACCACCGGCGGCAGCCGCGCCACACGTGTCCCCTTCCGCTGCGTGGGTACGGCAGCGGGGCTGGGGAGGGCAGGATGAGCCCAGATGCCTCCCGGAGGGGCCGGGCTGGGACGGGGATGGGCGCAGGGAGGCGGAGGGGAGCGGGGTGGCTGTGCCGGCAGTCGGGGGGGGGGGACGTCGGGTCGCCTCTCTCTTGGCTCTGCCCGGAGGAAATGGCTTCGGGCGAGCGCCGTTGCCATGCGCACGCTGAAAGGCGGGAGGACAAAGGCTGGGCCTGGGAAGTTTGCTCCGTGAATCGGGTTGGGATTTTCTGTTGAATCGGGTTGGGATTTTCTGTTTGCCCCATTCCCAGCCCCTTCCCCCCCCCGCCGCCACCCCGGCAGCTGCCCCGGGGCCCTTTGGGCTACAGCCAAAGCCGAGGCTCTCTAACGCCTTTCCACCCATTTCAGTGCTCAGTACTCCCGTTTCGATACTCATTACTCCCATTTCAGTGCTCAGCACCCTCATTTTGGTGCTCAGCGCCCCCCGTTTCAGTGCTCAGCACCCCCATTTCGGTGCTCAGCATCCCAGGTGGAGGAAGGGACCGGAGAGCTTCCCCACATTGCGCGTCTCAAAGCCGAGGGCAGAGCAGGGGGCGTTTTGGGTGCTGCCAGGGAAACAACCGAACAGGTTAATTAGCTGGCAGGAGGTTTATTTTATTAGCAGGATGGTATTTTTAATGAAGCAGGTCTCCAGCAGATGGGGGGGGGGGGTGGCTGTCGGTGCTCTGCCACACGGAGGGCTGCAGCTCCTCTGCCGCAGCTCGTCTGGCATAAACTCCTACATTTCCTGTATTCTCACCCAATGTCAAAAATGGTTGGAAATGTGGCAGCTCTAGCAGCCGGCCGCATTTCTCATGACTTGCTGGAGCAGAGGAGAAACACAAGGCACTGCCGAACTGAGCCCCCTTTCTTTCCCCTTTCCCTATTTCTTTTAAAAACTCCTGTAACTCTTCTCCCTCCCCCGACCCAGCTCCCTCTCCAGTGAAATCATCCTCCTTTGGGCTCATTTACTCTGTTTCTGCCTCTGAGAAGCTCCTTTCCCAGGGAATCTCCGAGGTTGGGAGGTTTTCCCATCGACGCAGAGCCCCTGGGTGGCAGGAGGCTGAGCGCTGCCCTTTTCTCTTGCAGGTGGGAGCTCGGCAAAGCAAACGACCTGGGAAGGAGGGCACCGGGTGCCGGCACTGGCGTACTGGCCCGGCCACATCCCTGCCAAGCAAACAAGCCACGCTCTGCTCAGGTAAGAGCCCGGCCGGCTCGTATCGGGGCGCGGGGCAGCCCCTTTGCCCCTGTTTTGGAAGCACCCACCGTCCCCGCGCTGGGACCCAGGTGATGGTCTGGATTTTGGCAGCAGCAGCTGCCCGCGCTGGTTATTGCCTGCCTTGTGCCAGAAACTGTCCTTTTGTCCTCTCCCAAAGCCCGTAAGACTTAATGCTTCAGCAAAGACGGGTTGAAAGGGCTTTTTGTGAGGCGGGTGGGTTGGCGTTAGCAGCCCCTGGGCTCCGTGTGCCTCCTGGCCGCGGTGGCCGAGTGCCTCCCGATAATTAAAAGATGACGATGTTCCCTCTCCCCACCAAGAAGCAGGCTTAGGCTTTGTGGTTTGTGAATGGCTTTATGTGGAGGAGGGTGCGGTTGTGGGTAAGGCTGGCCGGAGAGCTGGCGCTTGCAATCGGCGCAGGATGCGGCCGGGCTGGGAGGCAGCGAGCGACTTTGGCTTTTTCCGGCGAGAGGCGAGGGAAGGGCTGCGGCCCCCCCGCTCCCCGCCCCGCCGGGCCAGCACGGAGGGGCCCTGACAGCAGCGATATTGCACCCCTGCGTGCAGCCGGTGCCCCTCGCCGTGCACCCCTCTTTGCAGCCCCCCCCCCTGCCGCAGTGCAGCGGGGGGGGGGCACAGCCTGGGCTGGGGGCAGCGCGGTGGGATGCCTCGGCCCCTTTCATCCCTTGAAGGACGCGATGGTGGAGGTCAGGGTGGTGGGGCCAGGGCGGGGGTTGCTGGGCGTTGGGCAAGTGTCCCAGCTGCTGGAATCAGCTCCTGACTGGTGGGGCCTGGCGGAGGGCACTGGATGTTTCTAAGGTCCAAGATAAACTGGACCCATTTAATCCTTACGTGGCCCAAGGGCAGCTCTGGGGGCTGGATTTTTGCAAGCTGGGGAGGGCTCAAGGCACTGACGCCTGGCAGAGGGGTTGGGGTGCACTCATCACCCCTTGGGATTTACCTCCAAACCCTTCTCCCCACGGCTGGGGGATGCACCAGCTGCTGGGACATGGGGCAGAGCCCGTCCCCGCTCGGGCAGCGCGGTGCAAGATCAGTGCCCGTCCCCATCCCCCATCCCAGCAGCCTCCTCCTCCTCCTCCTCCCCTGCCACCAAGCCCAGGCATTGCCTTTATCTCCTCGAAGACCTTATCTCCTGCATTCCCCAGCTCCGGTCCAGCAGGTTGGACAGCTGGAAATCTAGAAAGCCAGTGGCGACACACGGGCTGTGCTGCACTCAGGGTGCTGGGGAAGCGGCTCCGTGGCTCCCCAGGAGTCACAGCACACCCGGTGCCCCCCGCAGCACAGCCTGGCATTGCCACGGGGCCGTGCCCGGCTGGTGCAGGGTGATGCCCTGGCATCGGGAAAAGGCAACCCCCCTTGTTTGGGAGGCAGCACAGAACCAGCCGGGGGGATGGGAGTGATGGCTTCTGCTCAGAAAGGTGTCACTGCTGGAGTCCTGGCCACGGCCTGAGCTCTGGGGCAGGGGACACAGAGGGACGTGGAGGGACGTGGAGGGACGTGGAGGGCAGGGGCTGCTCGGTGCTCGCAGTGTGTCAGGGCAGGTGGCTTTTCTCTGCGCCTTGAGCCAACCTTGGGAACATCCCTCGAAGGACAAGCATGTGAAATAGGGTGGTGGAAGACTTGCTCCCTCCTCCCTGCCCCCCCCCCCCCAGCTGATGGGGAAGACCAAGAAACTGAGGAGGGAATGAAATCTGCATGCATATGGGGCTGGGAGACCCCTGCACACAAGGAGGGATGTTTGTCTGGTGGGATCCCCCCGGGAAGGGCAGGCTCTGGGCGAGGGCAGGAGTTAGCTGCCGGTGTGAGCCTCCTTCTGCCCCTGAGGTTATGAAAATACTGACAGCCTTTGCCATCCGGCTGGGGAGGAGAGCCTGTGCCTTGCCTCTCCCCGGCGTCGCTCGGCTTCGCGTCCTCCCCGGCACAGGGAGCGGAGGGGTGAGAGGGGGTGAGCGTGCCCAGGGGCCGGGGAAGCCAAAGCCAGCAGAGAAATGCTGATGCATCTCCGTGGACATGCACCTGCACGCTGGTTTCTGCAGAAAACTGCCTCGTCGGCTTTTCTTAATTATATTTAATCGTCGGAGCCACCCGCTGTGCTTCTGCCCATCCCTGCCCCAACCCAAAGTAGGGCACGGCAGAAATAGGTCAGTGGGGTGGTGAAGAAGCAAAATTGCAGCAGCCTGGCCGTGCCGGCGGCGTGGGGCCGGGCAGGTTGGGCGAGGGGGGTTGGGGTGTGGGGTGAGGTGGTTCAGCTGCCTGCACCGCGTCCTCGCCGGGGCAGGGCGGCACGGCTTGCCTGGGGTGCTCATCGCCAGCGCTGCTCTGCCCCTCTGCCCTTCTCCCTCCGTGTTTGGGGCAGCAGCAGGACGCTGGAGTGAGTTTATTTATTAAAACTCTCTCGGCCGGGGCAGGGGCTTGGCACCGTGGCTTCCCTGCAAGTGTGGCTTCCTCGGCTCCCAGGATGTGCCTGCTGGTGGGGCCTTTGTGCCAACTTTGACTAAAATGCTGGGTTTTCGTGCTTTTTTTCCATGGGTTACATCTGCCTGTGGCCGGGGGGGGGGGGATCTTTGGCCACCTCAGCCCTCAATCACATTATCCTCCCACCTCGGTGACAGTTTCCAGCAGTCTCATCCGCTGGGTCGGGGCCGCTTGGTGCAAAGATGCTCCGTGCTGGGGACCGGATCCTGAGGGTGCTGAGCACCCACGGGACCACGAGTGTGCTGAGCGGGGCCTGCCCTGAGCTGCCCTTTCGGGTGGACCTGGGCTGACCTCAGCGAGGTGCCTGCGGGGATGTCCCCTCCCTCGGGTGCAGCGGGGAGCCAGAATTTTTCTGGGCGCCTCCCGGCTCGTCCGGTCGCTGGGGCTGTCTCGGCGAGCGTGCCGGACCGGGGCTGCCTCAGCAGTGTTTGTTCTTATTTGTTCCCTCCGTCTCTTAGCAGCTAAATTAAACCTCGTTGGATGGGAGAACGGGGGGCCCTTCAGCCCCGGGTTCTTCTCTCTCTCCATTCACGCAGCCGCCGTCACGCAGCGGCCGGGGGAAACGCGGTGGGGGGACTGGGGTGGCAGGACCGTGGCAGCACCCTGGGTGCCCCCCGGTTGGGGGACACAGTGTTTTCACACACACGCCCCCCCCTCCGCCCCCCCCAACCCCACGATTTCCTTGCCCCAACTGAGCCCCTGGGGTTTTGATCCCCCGAGCTGCCAGCACGAGGGGGTTGTGGCTGGCAGGGAGCGGGCTGAGTCCCCGTTGGTCGCTCAGCACCGCTGGCTCTGCCGGCTCATCAGCTCCCCTGCCACGGCTTCAGCCCCGGGGAGGGCAGCGCTGTGACGTGTCACTCGGCCACACCGACATCCCGCTGTCCCCCCAGGGCCGTGGGACACCCCCGGTGCAGGTGGCTCCTTTTAGGGGGGTAGGGTCACCCCACAACCACGTCTGCGAGAGGGAAGGATGCGTTTGCTGGTGGGGCGGGGGCGGACACTTGTGCCTCACAGAGGTGGGATGTGGGGGGCGAAGTCAGACGCGGGGGCTGTCCCCGTCCCACTAGAGTCAAGCCTGGACCCCAGTGGGCAACAGTGGCCGGTGGAGGGGGGAAGCCCATGCCCGGGATGCACAAGGGTGGCCCCGTCCCACCCCAGCAATGACTCTGCTCCACCCGTGGTCCCTCCGCACCGCGGGGACACGCCGGCGGGTGGGGAATCGCCGCGGCCGAGCTCTGGCCCTGGGGCCACGGGTAGCAGGTGGGAAAGCAGAGACTCTCTGCATCCCCACGGAGCCGGAGGGACAGCGGGTCACCCGCTCCTTCCCTGTGTCCCTCCACGACCAAGGACGAGCCCTGAGCACTCTTTTGTGGCCCCTGAAAAACCCCCGAGAGGTTTAACGGTGGAAATGCTGACGGGCGTTTTGGTGGGAGCGCACAAAATAGCACCGCTCTCATTTTCCATTCTGGCTGCAACGGCTCGTGCTGCGCCATGCAAAAGCGAGACCGCATTTTCCTGGGGCGAGGGGATCTGCTGTCACTGGCGGAAAAAAGTCCCTGTGCTAGCACTTTCTCCGGAGGGTGACCTGCTGCCTTCCCCGCAGGGGCTGCCCTGCTCCCCACTGCCGCCCCCCTGCCCCGTGGGTGTGGGGTTTGTGGGGTGGGGGATTTGCGGGGCGCGGGAGCGTCCGAGCCTGGCGAGCAGGCGGGGCTGGGAGGCGTGCGAAATGAGGGGTCACCGGGGCTCAGCCACTGCTTGAAGCCGGTTTTAACCTTTTCTGCAGAGCTCAGCTGCCGGGGTGGGCGCTGGGAAGCAGCTGCCCACACCCCCACCCCCCCCCCCCCCAACCCCGCTCCCCAGCCAGGGCAATCCCGTGCCATCAGCGCACTGAGTGCCCCCCGGGCCAGGGGCTGCGGGGTGTAGGTGGGGTTGGGGGGACCCTCCGGGGATCTTTACTCCTTGTTTTGATGAAAGCCACCTCTTTCCCCAGCACCCTGGACATCTTCCCCACGCTGGTGGCCCTGGCTGGGGCGGCACTTCCCCCGAACAGGCGCTTCGACGGCTTGGACGTGTCCCCCGTTCTCTTCGGGTGGTCGGATGTGGGGCACAAGGTAGGGCAGAGCCACCCCCACCCCGGTGCCATCCCTCTCCCGACAGCAGGTCCCACCCCCCCCCCCACCCCCACCCCGAGCTAAAACAGGGAAGTGGGGGGCAGAAGGGCCCAGAGCTGGCAACGTGTGCACCCACAGGAGCACCATCCCCTGGCCCAGAGGAGGAGGAGAGCCAGAGACAGCCGGGTGCTGGCCCAAGGCTGGGCTCGGGGTGCCGGGGTTAAAGGGTTTTTGAATGAATGAAGAGGTGCTTTATGCTTTATTCATAAATCTGGGATTATAAATGAAAATGCCTACGCGTGCAGCTTGGCGTGCCTTCCCGTGCGCTGTGCCCGCGGTCCCGGTGCCCAGCACGGCGTGTCTCCTTCCCAATCGCAAAAGGTACATCAGTGTGGGAAAGAAAAGGTCCCAGGGATTCCGACCTAGTTGCCTCCACTTTATTTATCTTCCCAGATTGAGACCTAACGAAGCCCTCCTTCTCCCAGCTCATGGCTGGGGCACGTGCCCGTTCCTGATGTTCAAGGGGGCAGCTCTCCCCGTACCCTGCAGCATTCTGTCCATACAATAGGAGCTGCAGACAGCTTCTTTAAGCCTAAAAACCACAGTTAGCAGAACAAGCAGTATGGCGATGCATTTTTCTCAGTCACACATGATTTTTGCAGAACCAAAAGAAAAAAAAAAGTGGCTTTAATAGCAGTCCCACAGATAAAGCCCGATTTTGCTTTCAAAGTCCACCCTCCTGCGAGCGCCACGAGCCAGCTCCCAGTGGGGATCTTGGATTTGCTTTCTGCGTCCATCAGGGCTTTGGTATTCGCTTCGTATTTATGGAACCCTCTGCTGAACCGTGAGGTCAAGCGGGGAAGCGGATGGGATATGGCCAGTGTGCTCCGCTGTGCTCCTCGCGATTAACCCTCTTCCCCTGCGCACACGGCGCCGGGAGGGGGGGGGGACACCAGTGATTTGCTGGGAGCGATGGTTTGCTGGGAGCAACAGTTTGCTGGGAGTGATGGTTTGCTGGGAGCAATGGTTTGCTGGGATTGATGGTTTGCTGGAAGCAACAGCTTGCTAGGAGTGATGGTTTGCTGGGAGCAATGGTTTGCTGGGAGTGATGGTTTGCTGGGAGTGATGGTTTGCTGGGTGTGATGGTTTGGAAGCAACAGCTTGCTGGGAGCGATGGTTTGCTGGGAGTGATGGTTTGCTGGGAGTGATGGTTTGCTGGGAGTGATGGTTTGCTGGGAGCGATGGTTTGCTGGGTGTGATGGTTTGCTGGGAGTGATGGTTTGCTGGGAGTGATGGTTTGGAAGCAACAGCTTGCTGGGAGCGATGGTTTGCTGGGAGTGATGGTTTGCTGGGAGTGATGGTTTGCTGGGAGTGATGGTTTGCTGGGAGCGATGGTTTGCTGGGTGTGATGGTTTGCTGGGAGTGATGGTTTGCTGGGAGCGATGGTTTGCTGGGTGTGATGGTTTGCTGGGAGTGATGGTTTGCTGGGAGTGATGGTTTGCTGGGTGTGATGGTTTGGAAGCAACAGCTTGCTGGGAGCGATGGTTTGCTGGGAGTGATGGTTTGCTGGGTGTGATGGTTTGCTGGGAGCGATGGTTTGCTGGGTGTGATGGTTTGCTGGGAGTGATGGTTTGGAAGCAACAGCTTGCTGGGAGTGATGGTTTGCTGGGAGTGATGGTTTGCTGGGAGTGATGGTTTGCTGGGAGTGATGGTTTGCTGGGTGTCAGGGCGCAGTGCAGAGGCACGAGCCCATGCCAGCCCTTCCTGCATGTTTCAAACTGAGGAATAATGTCCTGAGCTGCAATGCGCTGCCCCAGGCTTCCCCAGCATCGCCGGCCCAGTGCTTTTTTTTTTGAGGGGGGAGGGCGGGGATTGTGTTGCAATCAGGGGTGCTGAGAGCCACGGGGCACAGCTGGGTTATTCCTGCCCATCCTGGCAGCGTGAGCAGGGTGGGCATCCCCAGGGGATGCGGTGCAGCTCCCCGCGCTGCCACAGGGCTGGGCGACACTGGGGAGGGGGACACACACACACACACACAGCACCCACCTGCTCCAGCCCCACGAGGTGACGGGGGGCAAGCGAACATCCCCGCTCCCTCCCCTCTTGGCTCTCTGCCTTTCACCCCCCGCTCGCCAGCGGCTGATAGCAACCCCCCGCTTCGACGTTGCAGGGTTTCCCTTGACACAAATCCTCCCGAAAGCGGCTCCTTTGCTCGCCCCGCCGCCCGGTTTCCACACAGATTTTTTCCTAAGGGGGGTCCCCGGGCCGGCCGAGGCTCCCCGACACCACACGAGCTGCCCGGGGTAACCTCGCTCGGCGTCCCAGCCTGCGCCCTCGGCACCGGCACAACCGGAGTGACAGGGCTGGGGCGATGCCAAGGTCCTGTTTGGAGCAGAGGCTATTTACAGTAAAAAGAAACGCATCCTACAAGATGTATCAAGGGTACAAGTGTCAGGCAAATCGGCATTTTCCATTAGCTTAATGGCAGAGGGTGTGCGCCTGCTCCCCGCGTGCTTGCTCGCTTGTGCAAACAGCCTGGAGCACTGACTTCAGGCAACAGGTTTTCTAGGGAGAACAGGCTTTTTCTCCCCTTTTCTATATTTTTTTTTTAATTATTATTATTTTATTAAAATAACAAAGTCACAGATCAATAGAAGGGTTACAGACCTGGGAATGTTTCTTGAAGGGGGTCAATCAAAACAAGGTCCTTGGTTAAGCAGTGAATTATAACAGATTTTCATAGCGTGGGGTTTTATGAGGCAGGTTTAGGAATGTGCTTTTTGGTAGCAAGGGAGGATCGAGTCCCTTTACACCGAGATGGCGGCATCCCAGTTGTGCTGCTAAAGGTGTAGGCAAAACTTTGAGACTGGAACCAGATGAATTGGTTCAGTTCCCGGTACCTTGGCTTCACGGGCCTTTGAGTGTTTGCTGATTTCTGCTATGGAGCTGTTTTATTTGGACTGAGGAGTGTCAGGATGGGGGGGACTCTGTGGCAGGGGTTTCCCCCTTGCAGCAGCACCTCGTCTTCCACTTCATACCGTTAATTTTTTTGCCTAAAACATGATTTTTAAACCAGATGCCAGAAAGCAAAATACTTTTTTTTTTTTTTTTTTTTTTTTTTTTAATTTACCTTGCAATGGAGGGCAATAAAAGAAACCGAGAGCACTTGGAAATCACCCCCCAGCCTGAATCCTGCCACCTCTTGGGTGAGTTACCAGCTGGCCCCCCGGGACGGGGGCTGCAGCCGGAGCAGGCAGCACGGGGTCGACATCTCGGGGTGCGGGGTGCCCGGCAGTGCCGGGGCAGGGCTCCCCCCCGGGCACCTGTTAAGGCATCACCGTGCTGATCAGCTGCGAACGCTGTTACTGAACTTGGCACCGCGGCTGCCTACAACTTCAGCAGATGTTTCTAATTTTTAGCACAGTGGAAATTTCTTGAATCACTTTTAAACTCAATTCCCAGAGAGGAAACCTTGAGTGACTCATCCCTCACTGAAGCCATTGGCTCCGCGGCAGATATTATCTGACAGATGAGCCCGCCGAACCGTCCAGCTCACTTGTCTTCTCCCTCCCGTGTGCCAAAGCAGTCGTCCTGTGCGGATCAAGTGTCCTAAATACTGAAAGGGAGAGATTCGACCCGCCCTTCCCTTCTCCCCTTCCTTCTCAGCCCCGTTCCCTGTGCCGGGACGGCTGTTGTCAGGGAAGGGAGCGCTCGCACAGCGGGGTGAGTCAGCGGCGGAGACGGGCCGGGAGTGATGTTCCAGCCCCTCACCTACCCGGGCAGCCTCCGCTTCGCATGAGCTCACCCGCAGCTCGTGCCTTGCTGCTGGCCCCAGGCAACAATTTGGCTCCTGTAGATGTCCCTGCCACTAGCTGAGCTGTGAGCACCGAGGGAGATGGGTGTCTGGGTGGCGCGGGGCAGTGGTGGGTGACACAGAGCACCCGAGACCGGCCCGGCTCTGAAATTTTCTGCCCCGCTCTGCTGAAAACCCCCCGCGCCTTCGTGATCACTAGAATCGTTCTGTGGAGGGAAATTCAGGGCCGGGAAGGCACAAGAGAGATGTTGGGGTTTCCCGGTGCCCTTTTGCTGTCACCCCACCCTCCAGCAAGCAAAAGTCGGTTGGTTGCTCAGAGGCCAGGGGCTAAATGGTGTCTCTGCACGCGGGCACGGGTGGGACATGGGCTCGTCTGGGGAGGGAGCGGGGCTCCCAGAGCAGGTTTTCTCTGCAACAGGGACTTTTCTGTTCTTCCTTCAGGTTCTGCTCCACCCCAACAGTGGGGCAGCTGGGAAGGACGGCGAGATAGAGGCGCTCCGGCTGGCCCAGTACAAGGCGTTTTACACCACAGGTACCGTGTCCCTTTTAGAGGTCATAAAGTCTGGGAAAAAACTTGTGGAATTCTCTGTTCCCTGCAGATACGGGTGAAAACCGACTCTAGTTAATTCAAGCAAGAGCAAACCCAGTGAGCAGGAGGCACGTGCCCTGCTGTGTCTGTGTGGTGGGCTTTGCAGCCCGGGGTTGTTGGCCTCGGAAGAACTCTTGGACTAGCGCTCTCGGATCTGGGCTCCCAAAGCTGGGATGTGGTGGGACTGGGCCATCATAGATGCGTGAGGAATCTCACCAAGGGGGTGATCCCTTGGCAGCCCGAGACTCCGGTGCTTTCTCTTTTTCCCTCCCTAGGAGGGGCGATGGCTTGCGATGGGAGCGTCGGGCCAGCTGAGCGTCACCAGCCACCGCTCGTTTTCAATCTGGATCGCGATAGCCAGGAGCAGGCGCCTTTGGACGTGGCATCCAGAGAATATCAGGCAGTGCTACCCGCAATCAGCAGGGCTTACGCCCAGGCTCTGGAGGACATCGCCACGGACAACACCTCGGTTGCAGATTACTCCAAAGACCCGGCCGCGATGCCCTGCTGCGACGCGCGGCACGTGGCCTGCCGCTGCCGAGCGCCCGGCTCTCCTGCAGCCCCGCGGGACCGGCGCATGGCACAAAGAGCCCCGGGGCTTTGTCTTTAAGCAAATCATTGCTCAGGCTTCCCGGGTCTGGTTCCTGTGAACGGGACTGTTGGGCTTGCTGGCTCCGGGCGGGAGGTTGGCCACGGAGGGAGGGGAGGGCTGGAGGCTGCCGGTCCCTTGGCTCCGTGCGATGAAGCAGGGAGGGGAGTTGTGGGTCTGTGGGAGCAGAAGGAGGGTCCCCTTTGCAGGGCTGTCCCCCCGGCAGGACTGTCCCCTGTGGCTGGAGGAGCAGGACACTGCAGTACCTGGTGGCTCTGGGCATGTGGAAGGAGACGGGCTTTTTGTAGAGCTCTTTAGCTGAGAAAGAGCCAAGGTCTTGGATTAAAACTATCTTCTGTGAGAGCTGGCTGTGGGAGAGAATTCCTCTGGGAAATTTGCTTGGCTCTCCTCTAAAATGGACCTTACAGGAGTGGCTGGTGGGAGCACAAGGCAGGGGAGGACGGAGCCTGCAGCCTCTGAGCAAACATCCCTTCTGGTGCCGAGAGCCTGGAAATCTGTGGCTGCAGAGAGAAAATTCCCGGCCGGCACGAGGTGAGTGCTCTGGGGAACGGAGCGCACACCCCGCCGGCTGCCGGGGGGGGTTATAGACGGGGTTATGCTAAAGACCCACCCGTCTGTATGAGAAAGAGGGTCCTGGGCTGTCCCCCAGTGCCCCCCTCCTCGTGGACAGGATGCTGGGCTTGTCCTGTGCCTGCTTTGCTCGGCCACAGCAGAGGCCAGTGGCTGCACTGAGACAGCACCCGAGTCCCGGCGTTTGGAAAAGGGTTTTTTTCTTGGGGAAGGTGTGGGGGGAGAGGTTTGCAGTGCAGAACTGGGGAACTGCTCCTCATCAACCCTGCGTGGAAAGAGCAATGGCGTAACAGCATTTTTTTTTTTCAGGGAGGTTCAGGGAGAGGTCCCTGCCCCAAGATCTCCCAGCAGACCAGGGCTCCAGGCAGAGAAGCTGCTCCTGCCGATCCCAGGGTGATGCCAGGGGCGCAGATGGGGCCAAACAGCTCTTACAGGGCCATTTCTGGGCAGATGCAAAGGCCTGGGGAGCTGCAGAGGCAAAACCAAAGGGGCAACTGAAACTTAAGAAACCGCTGGGATCTCTCAGCAGCTGAGTGAGGGTTTTCTGAAGCAATTTTGGACTCCCACTTACACACCCAGATCTTTCGTTGGACAAGTCGTAAGTGGACTCGCGTGGACTTGGTCGTGTGGGAGCAGCCGTCCTTGTGCCAGCCCCCCAAACCCACTCTCCCACTCATAAAGCTTAATCAAGACTGACATCTTTAGGGCCTCACAAAGAACAGCAGGAGCACGGGCAGGGAGCTGCCAGGGGACAGACCATGACTTTATTCTGTCTTTAAACATAGCAAATGGCATCTTCTCTAATATCACTGCAAAAATACTTTGCTTGGGTAAAATAGTATGTATATACTGTACAAAGACATAAGTTTAATATATCTTCCTGTAAGTACATTTATACACATAAAACAGCATAAATTAGAAAAGGGACAAATGGGTATATAAAATCCTGGTTACATACAAATCTGATTAAATTAGCATTTACACTGTGGTTCTAACATATAGTTTGTTAAATATAGCGATGTGCATACAGTACATTGACACCCCACCCAGACACAAATTCAAACAGGGGGCTAGCAGGGCCAGGTAGTCACTTAAACATACCGTAGGAAAAAGCAGTGGCCCACCTTGGATTTTTTTTTTTGTTTGTTTGTTTGTTTTTTTTTCTTGTCTTGGGGACTCACAAATCTGTTCTTCGAAATTCCTGGCTTTTCCAAAGCACTTCCCAGCAGCTGTCCTAAGCGCGGATGTTTGCTTCTCATCATGACCTCTTCGCTTTGCCCGGCTGACCTCCACGGCACAAGATTATCTACCAAAATCAAAACAGAACGGCCTTACTTTTCCCAGCAACAGGGTGTGTTTCAAGTTGGTTTTACGCACATGGGAGGAGAAGGGGGAGGGATGTCCTGCAGTGTTTTACTTTCCATTCAAAGGCAGATTTGTGAGCGGTTTATTTATTTACTCTCCCCCTCCCCAAATTTACAGTCCTGGGAACAGAAACCATCTGGCTTGGTGATAAGCGTGTCTGGCCTGCAGCTGGTATCGGCCTGAGCCCAGCCGTGCTTGCAGGAGTTGGATTACCGGGGGTGAAGTCCCTTTGCCTCCCTAAGTCCTCCCAAAAAGTTCAACTCCTGGCATGGCGGGAGGGGAAAGGTGTGTGCCGTGCATCACCGTTTCTCTCCGGGGTCTCCAGATGGAGCCCAGAGTTAAACTCTCACATGTTAGACTGGACTAGGTGGGAGGAAGCCTAGCCTCAGGACCATCGCCTGCCCACTTTGGAGGCACAAGCATTGGCACTGGATCGCACGCTTCCCAAGGGACCGGATAAACTGGGCTTAATCCTGCAAGTCCCAGCTGCCCAAAATGCCTGTCTGAGCTACCGGGGCAGGAGCTGCTGTGAGGAAGAAGAGGCCAAACTCGCTTATCCCTCATGAAACATGACTGCTAGTAGAGCTTCACCGCAAAATCTACGGCCTTTCCTCTGCTAACAGCCAGCTGTTAAAAAAAAAACAAAAAAAAAACCAAAACCCAACAAACACTTAAAATCGTTAGCGTCGCGTATCCACGCCGCAGAATGGAACACCGTCCAGCAAACAGCAAGGAGGAACTTGGGCAAACACGGGGCGGAAGATGCACCTGCAGCCTGGTTACTCGTATGAGGAGCTGCGGTTTGGAGCCGCGGGGATGTGTGCGGGCCCCGCGCTGCGGCACGGATTCCCACCCCGCCGCCGGGACACCGCGCTGCTGAGGGCGGCCGGGGTGCACGGGCTGCTGGAGCTCGTGCTCTCGCCCGTCTGTCTGTCCGTGCAGGGAGCAGGCAGGGGTGGGAGCTGCGGCGAGAGGAGTTTTTCATCCTGCCCCGTGCAGCCCGTAAGCAGCGCTGCGGGCAGGAGCCAGTGGCAGCAGCATCCTTCGGCAGCACAGCCAGAAATCGATGCCAGAGGTGTTTTTAAAGGCTATCTGCGTATCGGTGAGGGGAAGCTGCCTTCGAAGAGCTGACTGGTGCATGCAATCTAGCTGGGCTTAATGAAATGGGTCTCCCAACAAAGCCTTCACATCAATTCTGGTCCCAAAGCTGACAAGCTTCAGCGTGCAGCCAAATGCAGGACGGGTCATGTGTGCCTGGAAAAGCACTTTGCAGTCTGCTGGAAGAAATCACCTTTCCTACTGAATTCCAGAAGTTTTAAAAAAGACCCCCTGGTTGCACTCCTCAGGGCCGCACAGGCCGTCTTGCTTGCTAAATCATGTTGGATTTCTTTTGTCAAACCTCACAGCGCTACCGTGAAACTGCTGTTTTGCCCATGGGGTCACTGCGGGGGCTCCCGAAAGTGGAGCTGGCCAAGCGGTGCCCTGCCTGGCCCAAAACACACACCAACAGCTCCCCACACCCCTGGAAACCTCACCGACACTGAAAAACCTCACAGAAAAGTGGCAGCTCGGGCAGGTAACCAGAAACCAGCCAGAATCGCTGCAACCATTTGCAGCCAGAGCTGGGTTTGCTCTTCCTATCCTGCAAAACCTTCTGACCACGCAGAGCAAGGGCGACGCAGCCTCCTCCCAGAGCAGCTCAAGCACGGCACCTTCTCCTCACCGGAGGCTTTAGGCTGCTGCTCATCTCAGTAACACCCGAATCCTTCCTGCACAAGCTCAACAGGAGACCTGAAAGCACTTCATCCACCCCATCAGGGCAAGCAAGAGACGTCACTGAGCTTGTTTAACCTCTTGCCACAGGATCCTTCCACAGTCCTGGCACCACCAGTAGCACCATCCACATTCACTCTCGTTGAAGCCACTTTTTACGAGCCCTCCTTGGGCTTCTCACCCCTTCTCTGATCTGTCCCTCCTTCTGTTTAATGAAGAGGCAGTTTTCAACAATTAGCAACAGATTTTATGTCAGGCTGAAGCTGCTTCTCCTCGCTTTTAACAGCTGAGCCTCTGAAGTCTTGCTTGAGGTCAGGGGAAGGCAAGATGTTTCAAAATGGAGAGGAACTGCTGGGTCTGAGCATTGCTGCTTCTCCAAAAGTATGTCTAAGTTCAAAGCCATACTCGTGGCGTGGGCTGTGGGCGAATATTCCATTTTGTCACAAGTTTTGAGGTTTTTAAATGTCTTTTTGTTGCACACTGGAAAACAAACAAAACCCTTCCCATGTTTCCACAAAGCAGAATGCTGTCAAAACATTTTTGTTGGATAAGGTCAGGTTTTCTCTCCCTCCTTCTCCGCACAGAAATGACCGATGCCTGAAACCCCCCTTGAACACGTCATCGAGACCGAACATCTCGGCGCTGAGAAAACAGCGAAGTTCAGTGAAATTCAGAGCATCAAAACATCCCGACCAACCCTCCGTATGCACTGACGCAGCGGGAGCCAGCGCCGCACTAGCTGGTAGACCAGATGCAAAACACATTACCGTCAGCAACAGAGGGGCAAAACCAAAGTCCCAGCTGCAGAGCCTTTATCTGGAAGCTCCACTTGCTAAACCACCTTATCAGGGAATATTTCTGGAAAGCGCCTTCCCTCCCACACCACCTCCTCCCTAACATTACACGTGTACATTGCTCTGTCACGTTAATTACAGCGCAGGGGTTTGACAGATCAAAGTTCATTTAATAATGACGCCTGCTGCTGTACAGCAGGGGTTTGGGGCTGCTTTTATACGGCATCGTCCCAGCAGGAAGGCTCATTCAGGAGCAGCGTGATTCCTGCTCGCTGGCATTTGCTTGGCCCCAAACCACATGTTCAAGAGCAAGTTCAGCAGAAGGAAGCAAAGGATTTCTCTTTGGCCCTGCTGCTCCTTCCAGGGGCCTGGGTACCAGCTTCTCCACGGCCACACGACTTAGACCAGAGGGGAGACATTTTAAATGTCCTTCTTGGGGAATGGAGTCGGGACAACCAGAAAACTCTTGTTCTCAGTTTGCAGCAGGTTATGTTACAGGTAACAAAAGAGAATTGGTCTAAGGTTTATATGACTTGAGTTGGATTTAGGTGGCGTTTCAAAGGGAGCCGTGAGCTAGTCACCTTTTATCTAAAGAACACTTGGTAACTAGGAAAGGGCCTCACAGAGGTCAGCCTCAGCATACGGAACAAATCCTGGGACCCTGATGAAGTTTTTACTTCCTCCTTTTCAGGTAAAACTCCAACAGCAGGATATGTAAAAATGGAGTAAGGGATTCAAAAGTCTGCCAAGTCTACAACTTGAAATCCATTACAATATTCTGCTGTATTAATGCATTATTATCATGAAGACGCCACTGATTACAACCAGATCATAGCAT